TAAAAAAGAATGTTTTAGTAACCAAGTTTTTTTCTGAATATAGGTATCACACCGCAGCCTTTGTCAGCACGCAGAAATAGAATTACGGCTTGTTAAGGGGCCAACTAATAACCGCTAAGACAAATACAGACGTTTTCACAAAACGGTATCAATTTTAAAGTACCTAAATTACCACTAATTTTTAATAGTACAAATAAAAATGGGTGTACTCAGTATCGAATACTGATCATATTTGTGTAGGAAAAAATAAAAGTCGAAATCCCAAAATTGTCCATAAAAACGATAACTAACATTTCATCAAATCAATGATGTATTTGCGTATTTTTTGTCTGCGCCTTCATTGTTAAAACGTGACTTTTTTATACTGTTTTATAAAATTAGTAGTTATTTGCAAGAAAAATTGAAAAATTAATTGCTATTGCTTATTCGGCCTTTTTAGAGAGGCAGTGCTTCTCTCGCGAAAAAACAATTGAATAAAACGTGCTGTGTTTGTCTTCAAATCGAAAGAGGACAATTAAAATATCTGTAAGTTCCTAAGTTACCTATCTATACAAGCAGTTGTGATCAACCGACTAGTACACGTAAACAAAATACATAAGTACTATAACAAAAAAAAAAAGGTATTTACTTACTTTTCTCCGGCACTAACAAACACTGATATAAATTATCTCAAACCTTTTTTTCGAAATTCCGGAAACAAATGAATGAGTTTGCCTTTGGCATCAAGTATTTATAGTGGTGATCAAGTTCATGTCTGAACAAGCATTAAGCATTGTCGGGCGGATAGCGCTTTGCAAGTCTGTACATGTACGTACACGAAATTGTACGTAATATCGAATACGCAAGTTTGGACAAGTAAAAGTCGCTTGCCTTATTAAAATATTATCTGCTTAGTTATGTACTTAAAATAATGTAGGTAGGCCCTTATAAAACTATGCTTACATTTTTGCTCTTTACTATCAAAAGCAGATAATTTTTCGTGGACCCCCATTAACATCTTATGGACCCCCATTTTTTGTTCACGCCTACGTAGACCCCCAGCAAGTCTCCCGTGGACCCCTGGGGGTCCACCTGGACCACTTTGGGAATCACTGGTTTACAGCTATCTGTATTTCGAAGATTGAAAATTATGCGAATCAAATTCTTTTGTACAATGAATAGAGAAGGGGCATCTATACTATTTCCCCACATGATGACGCTATAACTAAACCATGCATAAGCGTACGCTTAGTACATAGTGAGTGATGTTTGTATATCTGTTGTCATTTTAACTACGCGTAACGCATACGCAAAACTAGAGAGTTTGGATTTAAGCTTCTGGATGTGAGACCTCCAATTTAATCGTGCATCCAGTTCCAGGCCAAACAGAGTGACGTCGTTTACAGTTTGTATTTTTTTATTTTCATACGTAACATCGATGTTTAAAGGACTTTTTTGATGTGGGTGGAATGCGATAATTTTTGTTTTTTGGAAATTTATTTCCAGATTGTGGTCTATCATCCACTTATTTATTAAATTGAATGTGGAATGTAGTCTGTTATTTAAGTTGAAGTCATTATTGTATGAGATAAGGAGAGATATATCGTCGGCAAACAATATACAGTGATCGTGTACTATTTTTGGGAGATCGTTTATATAAATAAGGAATAATAGACACGAAATTATACTGCCTTGTGGGATCGAGGCATTTATGGTTTAACACTTGATCTCACATGTATTACTTCCCTAGTATTTGAGTTGAAGTATTCCATAGTTACGAATTGCTCTCGGGCGTAAAGGAAGGATTTAAACCAATCATAAGTCTTTCCTCGAATGCCTATATCATATAGCTTTTTTAATAATATGTTAAATTGTACTTTGTCGTACGCCTTTGTCATATCGAGCAAGACCCCGGTCGCGTAATTTTTGCTGTTTATTACATCAAGTATGTTTTGTACATATTTGAATATAGCCAAAACTGTGGATAAGAATAGTCTTACGAAAGCCATTTTGACAATCATCAAAAACTTTAAACTTTTCCCAGAATTTGTATACCCTCTCACTCATGGCCTTTTCAAATATTTTTGAAGCTGTGGGTAGGAGAGCTATAGGACGATAATTGCTCGGATCTGTTTTTTGATTTTTTTTGTGTAAAGGTTTGATTATAGCTTTTTTTAGCAGGTCGGGGTATATTCCTTCGTTAAAAGACTGACTCACAAGTTGGCTCAATGGCAAAACCAGTTCTGAAGCGCATTGCTTAAATAACATTGGTGGAATCTCGTCAATTCCGCAACTCATTTTACTTTTAAGTTTTATTAAAATATTGTATATTTCTTTATTTTCTACAGGTTTTAAAAATATTGAATTTTCAAGGGGACAAATTACAGGGCGGCCGGTAGGTGCTCCGGTACAAACTTCGCTGATAGATGCAAAAAAGTTATTAAAAGCATTTGCAACCCGGTTTGGATCAGTTACAGTTTTGTTATTGATATTCAATGTTACATTTTGTTTTTCATTTTTATTTTTCTTATTGGCACGCTCATTTATAATACTCCACATTGTTTTTGTTTTGTTTGTTGATTTTTGAATTTTCTTTTTATAATGAATTTTCTTTGCAGTATTTATGGCTTTTTTTAATAATTTTTCGTATTTTTTGTAGTATTTCTTAAGAATTTTATCTTTTGACTTTAGTGTTAAAACTTTGAGTAATCGCTTATTTTTACATGACATTTTAATGCCCGCAGTAAGCCAGTATTTTTTGTAAGTTGTTTTTAATTTAATTTTTACTTTTTACTTTTTACAACTATGTTAATACTATATATTCGTTTAGTGAAAATATGATACAAAATCCTGTTTTTACACTTTACTGCAGAAGGCAGGATCTTTTAATTCGAATTCCTAGTACCAACACTGTATTTGCAGATAGGCAATATGACAAGCGTGCTGTAAATCTTTACAATGTTTTAAATAGTGAACTGAAAATTTACAGTAAGCTGTATTATGAGTGCAAGAAAATTGTACAAAATTGGCTTGCAGAAAAAACATACACAGAAGTTGAGGCACTGCTGGATCACTGATATTAAATAAACAAATACGCACTCTCTTTCTCTCTCTCACACACACACACACACTCACCCCCACACACACTCACCCCCACACATACTCACACACACACACACACACTCACCCCCCCACACACACTAATAGAAAAAGAAAATATATACATATAGGTATATATTGTAAGGAAATTTATGTACCTAGTTAGTAATATTAATATATTAATAAGTACTATTCTTTTACTTTGTTAAGTTAGTTAATTATGTATATACTGGTTGTTTTGAAACGTGTAGGTAAGAAAGAGCGGAGTCTCCTGACACAGGCTATGCTTAAAAGGAGGCTCCAGCCCCTATTGTTTAAGAAACCATGTTTTAAGATAAATAAAGATTATTATTATTATTACTGCAGTAATTTTTACAAATTATTATTTTTGGTACGGCATGATTGACAACCACGCTGTCAGTCGAACAAACGAAGACTGTTGCGCGATTGACGCTGTATGTATATTGACGTATGCGATTTTAACGCCCTACAGGTGCGGACACTTTTTAGCGCGAATCCGACTTCCATTTATTGGTAGGTCAATGAAGTTGCCTGTTAGTAAATAGGGAACTTCATAGGCATGCTTATGTCAAATGTTCGAATATTTTCAAATATTTTTTATGTAATCGTTAAATTGAATCAATGTGATCGTTGTGATAAAATAGAAAATTAGCTTCATTAAAAAATAGGCTTACGTATGGAATGTAATTCCACCCTTGGCTAGTCTGGATGCAGCAGAGATTTTTTTGCAAGTGTCGTTGAGTATCTACTTGACGCGGTGAATTCGATAATGGAATTAAAAAAACATCGATTTGAAAGCAGTGTTTATTGTGCGATAGTTGTTTTGTGCTTGTATCTTGACAGAGGGATTTCCTATCGATGACTCCTCCAGTCCTATTGCTCTGATTACACAAAACTTTAAATACTACTTAAACAAAATTTTATGAAAACTGTTTTATGAATAATCCGTCTCAAAAAAGACAGACTAGAAATTACTCTATTTTCGTTCATTAATTAAAATATATTTAAAATTTTCCAGCTGTCAATGTGACGGAATGATTCCGAAGGATGGGAAAGTAAAAGAATGGTTAAGTTTCTGAACGAAATGGTACAGTGTTGGCACTTCTAATATAATACCTAAAATTGGGTATATTTCTTGTATAATCCAATTGCCACTTGAATAACGCGATTTCACTTTATTGGCTTTAAGACCACGAAAAAAAAAAATACTAAAACAGATACAGATAAACTAGAACTGATATCAGGAAAAAAATATTTGAAATTTACAGTGGATCCAAATGTAAAAATCTATACATGACTACATCTTTCTGTTTCTTTCATTATAAATCACGCTCAGTTGCATTGTCTTTAATGTAATATTAATAGTACACATTAATTTATAATTTGCGTTCATGGCATATACGTCTTGATTGGTATAAATAAGTAAAAAAAGTATGTTACGTATCTATTTGCAACAATGGGGTAAACATAATGATGTTGTTGGGTACCCTGAACTGAGAAATGGATGGCTGTGTATTCGCTCTGGACCTTTTGGAGGGAAAAGTGTCGTTTTTATTTTGACTTTCAATTATTTTGTGAAATCTTGTTTAAAGTGGAATAGGATAATGCTATTGTGCCTTAATCGAAGATTAAAACGCGAAATTATACGAATCTCGAACTAAAATACCCGTATCGGCCCGTTTTATGGAATCCCGAGTCAATCCAAGCACGCCGCCTCAAATTGCCTATCCTCTTTGTGGCGGCCATATTTACACAAACATATTTAAACTTCATGTTTAGGCTGATGGCTTTGCCAAAGCCTTAATAAATTTAAAAAAAAAAAAATGGATGGCTGTCATTCATTCACTTCAGAATTCACTTGTGTGCGTCAAGCAAGCCAAGCGAGAAGCGTCACTTTTGTGTTTAGGTAGTGCTCAATGGGATTATTGTTATGTGGACGAAAAATGCAGTGTTTTTAATACGGTAGAAAAAGCAAAAAGAAAAACAATTTTCAATACTGTACGTTAGAGAAAATTGAACTGAGTGAAGCCGTGATACTACAAAAATTGGAAGTGACTTATTGTAGTGTTGTGTTGACTTCAGAACTTGTTGCAAAACATTTAACATCGAAGTGATTTTGTTATTTTAACAATATCAGACAGTTCGTTTCGCTTGGCAGTTGTGTGGAATTATTTTTTAGGTTCGTCATTTTTGTACAATAATATTAAGTGTGAACGAGACTTGAGTATTTCGGGTTATCACAATGAAAAATGAATTGAGAGTGTTTAGGACGAACTGCACTTATTTCTTGATAGTACTGTCGCACCTGAGGTGCAGTACTTGAGTCCCCGCGGTGCGTTGAGAGACAGACGATGAGGGGGCAAAGGTGAAGTGCGGGGGCAGGAGCCGACACCCTGGAGCACCTGGTGGGAGGCGGGGGCGGGCTGCTGCCCGGCGCCTCGCCCGCCCAGCACCCGCCCAACATGCTGCAGCCCATGGAGGAGATGATCCTGCCACCTAAGCGGCAAGCTGTTGTTGACCGATTGCGGTTAGTATCCTCCACCACTTTTTTATTGCCCTGGTTGTGACAGAAATAAGTTTGTTGCCATGTAAGTTTTTGCTGTGGGCAATATCTATAAAAGTTAAACACAAAATTACTAAATTTACACAATGTTTTTTCACTGCAGTTTGCTACTTTTCCTGAAGCTGTCTCTACATCTTTTTTTTGATGATAATATTTTGAATGAGTATTTTTTTGTCTTTTGTTTATTGGGTTACTACAGTTATTATGGAAGGATTCTAAGTATACAATTAATTATGAGTGCACATACTGAGCAAAAACAATGTAAATATAGAGAAGTAAAAACTAGAAAAATAGTAACTAAATCATAAAAAAAGAAATTGCAAGAAGTTGCAATAAATTTTTTTTTAATAATACTAAGAGACAGGACAACAAGTCTCTAGAGCAAGATGTTGTGTGCACTGCCATTGCGCCCGTCACCTTGAGACGTTAGTTGAGAAGTTCCATGTGCCTAATTTTACCAGTACCTTTACCCTTCGAAACCAGAACATAGTAATGCTCACATTGCTGCTGGCCGGCAGAAATAGGTAAGGTGGCAGTACTTCCCTGGACGAACTCTTTCACAAGGAGCTCTACTGCTACTACTTTTACTTGGTACTTGGTGTAACGGGCTGGTGTCCACAACTCGACATCAAGGCGTCTATTTTGCGTGTGGTGGGTGCAGGGTCCTACTCGTGCCACCCTAGCTCCTCCAGGAATCTCAGCAGCCTCCTTGGTTTGCTGAAGACTTCGGGGAGCGACCTTGGCACTCCAAGGCACTTTGCCTTGTAGTTGGCCACGCCGGAGCACTGTAGTAGGATGTGCGCAGCCGTTTCCTCCCCCTCCATTCACGCTCTGCATAGAGGGCTGTCTGTGATACCTAAATTGAGAAGGTGTTTATTGTATGGACCATGACCATGGCGGCAGCTGGAGTGCGAAGCTCTTGCCTGTTGAATTTAATTAATATTCGTGATAGACTGGCATTGAGCGTTGGGAGTGCATCCCTCGCCTGTCTACAAACCGTAAGGGTGGTCCATGTATTATTATGTGAAGTTTTTGTACCTTTGTGTATAGTTGTTCTGGACCATTGATAGGGGAGGGACACTATGGGTTCTGGTCCTACTGCGTACGTCTCCGACCCTTTTCTGGCTAGTTCATCGGCTGCGTCATTGCCACGTGTGCCGCTGTGTCCTTTAATCCACTGTAGAGTTAAGTGGTTTTGTATACATACCTCCATGAGTGCTTGATGGCATTCATAAATGAGCCCTGAGTTTATGTCATAGCTGTTCAGTGCTTGAAGTACTGACATACTGTCAGAGAGTATTCGAATGGAGTGGTTCTTTACTCTTCTCGCTATGATTGCTTCTGCCGCCAACTTGATGCCCACGCATTCAACCTGGAATACTGTGTTGTGGTCACCAAGCGGTGTTGATATCCTGATATTTTATTTTTATTTTATTGGTCTTCTGAGAATACCCCAGTACCTGTTCCTGAATTTGTTTTAGATCCATCAGTGAAGACGCGGACCTCTCTAGGGTTCAGTCCTTCATTTGGATCTTCAAACAGTTGTATCTTGTATTTTTTGTCGAAGATGTATTGTTTTGGGATCCTATCCACAGCCGCCTCCAGTAGCAGTTCCTCATTGACTGTTTTATAAAGGATTTCTATATGTGGGGTACTCATGTGCTTCCAAAGGCCGGTTCTGCTACTAACAAATACAAAAAAGAAAGGATCTTGAGGTGCATAAAATTAAAATGAGAAAAAAAGGAACATTACTGGTTGGTACTTGTGTGTATATGAAATACAATTTCTCAATAAGCTTCTGTGGCTGAAGTGTTAGAGCCCATGTTCCCGAACAAAGTGATTAATAAATTATACTTTTGAATCAACTAATATTACAGTCGATTCATCCAGTACATAACTTAGAATTTTACTTTTAAATTACCAAACTAGAAGTACAAATACAAATATGAAAATTGTACAGTGAAGGGCATGTCAAGCTTGGCTTATTGGACTTTGGACTGTCCTTACTTTAATCAGCTTAAATTTGAATTGAAATCTTAAGTGTCGAGCTTGTCAAGAGACCCTGTACAATTAGTGTCAAATCCAAACATTCAACCAAAATCAACCCACAAGTAATATATAATAACACACACTCAACATAAGTTATTCATCATTCATAATAATTCATCGCATTTTACTTTCATATAAAAATATTTAAGTAGATTGCTCCATGTGGTGATAACTCTGTTCAGTAGCAAAATAAAGCACTAACAAAATATTTTTTATGAATAACGGCATGCGTGAGCCGTTGCTAAACAACCTACCAAAATCTAAAAAGGGTCAGATAGTACAACAAAAATTTAGTTTGGTTTTGGTAAATCTATCATGTTTTGTAAAAAGTCATGGAACAAATAAATGTTATTGTTAGTGATGCTTAAAATATTTTTTGTATTGCCTGCATTAGTATTTTACAAATAACCCTGTATATACATTTTTGTTTAGTTTATTTAACTGTTTACACACAGATTAATCAATGGATAATGTATTATTTGGCACCAAGTCCTTTACCATCCTGAACCACTGAATTGACAATATTGTCTGAGCATTGACCAATCTAGTCTGATCAATGGGCTGCTGCTGTGCCTAAGAACAATTTGCTTGGGTTAAAACGGCTTAACTCCCTTCATTCTAAAATGTAATTGAAATAAACTTATCAAATATTATATTTTTCTTTTGACAACGTGTAAAAATTTTTCTTCAATAGTTATTAGGCAGTTCTACTTTGCTTATTTTAAATAAGCCAATCAATAAATTTACTTATGTATATTCTAATTTGTGCTACAACTTAATAAAGTTTAAAAAATATTTTTCTATTAGAACTGTCAGTTTCTATATTTCTAATTATGGTGGTAGTATTATTTTGTGGTTTATTGTGGTGTGATTCTACATGCCATATATAAAAACAAACATTGTTTCTACCAACTCCTTCCACATTTATTTTAACTGGGTGTATGTATTTTTCCTATTTCTGATGTAAATGTTTTTATTTACATCAAGAATAGGATGTGAAGTGATTTATTTACAAGCATTTGGGGATGTTCATAATGGATATGTAATGTATTACACCCAGCAGTGAGATGTATAGTGGGTGTATGAATTATTTATCAATTTAGTCATTTTTGTTCTGGTTGTTGTATTATTATAGAGAATTTATGTTTTGTATGTTACAAATCTATTGAAATAATCTTAAGTTGTAATAACACGGGCAAGTCTACAAAAACACCGTCGAAACAATTATTTAAAGAAATACATACACTATAGTTTATTATAAAGTCATATTACAGAGCCAAATCATTGTATTTCTGTCAATTATTTACTTCGTTTTAATAATGTTCCGTTTATAAATAAAGTGAAGCTCAAAAACTGAAGGCGTCAGAGGTCAATAGTACTGACCGCAACTGGTTGGACGACGCTTTATACTTTTTTCACCGAATTGGATGATCTAACGAGTCAAATCATAATAGACATTATTAAAACGTCCAAGGAATTTTGGTATTCCCGGAACCACCCTTTCCCATAATAAGAGATAAGAGCTATTCGAAACGTATGACTTATTTAGTGAGTAATCGATTGTGATTCATTTCTAAAACATTTGCAAATTTTCGAGATAACGACTGATATGAAAAGCTTCCTAAGTGATACAATGTCAAAATCATCGTATTTCACCCATGGCACGGCAAAAATTATTAAGTGCCCTGCACTCGGTGCAATTACGTAGAGTATGCGTTAGGGCTAACGGTATCGGTCGACTTGACGGTGCATAAACGCCGCGCTCAGTTCTATTTGCATTGCAGCATAGTTCTAACTTTATACATTATACACACAATACTGCTTGTGTGCATTACGCAACGCGCTCTATAGGTATGCGTTAAGTCAAAATACATTTGAACTAGTGGAGAGTTTGGAATGATGTTTGGAGTTTGGATACCTGGACAATATTTATTAGCAATAATTGTTCGTAATTTAATCTGAATGTAATCTGCGTGCAATGGAATATTTTGAAAATGGAGTAGTCACACGGATAGCCTCGGATGATAACTACACAGCGATCAATATAAGCGGCAGTGAGTCGAGGGACGATCCCTCGTGTTAATGGGATCATTTTGTAGGGATACACCCCGATAGCAGAGACGGCCTTCTAAATACCTCATTCGAACGTCTGAATATTGTAATTGTTTAAAATCGTCTCTATGTGGCTAAATAATATTATTTTCAAGGCACTTTTTTTTTAATTCTAAGTACGTCTGTATGGAATTTACTCAACTTACCTACTTCAAGTTTAAAATTTCTGAAAACCACCACAATAATAGCTCATAATCCGTAGGTTACCATCGGAACGCTTCTTGACAGTGATGTGCTAGTATCATCACTCTTGCAGATTTTTATTACGAAGTATCACACTGATTTTAGCATTAATGTAACATAGCCTGAAATTTAGAAACTAAGAAGTTATATTTACATACCAAATGTACCGTCAAAATGCAGGTTTACAGCCCGCGCAATCAAAACAATGACGGCTGCATTTGTTGCAGTGCAATGTCTGGAATTTATATAGTGTCTCAGGAGCAGTGAATCAAATGTTGCTTCTAAGTATAGCAGTAGGATTTTGTAGATTAACGTGATACTATGTTGTGGTCGTCTAAATGGATTATGCACTGCTTGTCCTGACGATACATAGATGAAATGTTTTCTGTTTTGGTTTGCGTAAATTTATGAAATATATAATTATAATATTACGATTCTCTCGAAATAACACTATAAATGCGATGAACTCAGAACTCTTAAACATAATGTAGTTACGTTATATCTAGAGAAACGTGTTTTAGATCGTTTTATTGTGTGTGTACTGTGTACGCGGTTGGAGACATATCACCGCGTGAAATGGCTTCGCTGTGAGAGCGCAACATTAGTGTACTACTCAGCCCATGTTATGGAGAAAGTAGTAAAATATGGAATGAAGATATAGTCGATCTAAGGCTCTCGTTGTCGGAAACAACAAAATAAAATTATTGGTCGACACTGTAAATTGTTGAAAAAAAAGCCTTTTAGTTCGTGTTTTCTTTTCTTTCATTCGGTCTTCGTATATTCGAACTCTACCAGCACATAAGCTAGTAGATGAGACTTTTTAGGTACAAAATATATTTCCTTGAATATATTCATCATATAACATAAATGATTTAATATTTTCATCTAGTTAGCAACAAGAAGAAGGAATGCGCAGGTAATACATGTAATCAGTTAAGACGTGAATTAAATGAATAGCAATAAGGTAGCAACGGGCGGGCGTAGTAATCCCGATTCAGCGGGGGTAGCGGTGTCAGTGACATAGCGTGACATACAATCGGGACTTATCGAAGGCGTTGTTTGCGTAGCGCGACGACGACGCTGGTCAATGAACTAAATAAAAACACCTACGAGTTTACCAGTGCATCGCGTCGCACTGCCGACGCTCTCATCCCGTGCCTTTTCCGTACACCCGTGCGCGCGCCTATCATCTCCTTGGCTCATGCTCCGCCCTATTTATCTCGTTAACTAAAACATTTCTAAACCACTTCTGGCAAAGGTAAATAAATGTCTAGTAAAAATTACATAAGTTTACTAACCACTTGTCTTTTTAGCTACACGTATTGTACACACCCCAGCATATCAAGCTTCACATTGACGTATCTTGTTCCGTTGCACTGGAGGCGATTTTCGAACAAAAATGTGTAGTCTGATGTGCCGTTGTCCGTACCTACATACCCATGGAACTAGCACTTTGAAATAAAATGCTAACCTTCAAAATAATCCCTTTAGCTTTATAGATTCCAGATATCTAATTATTTATGGGTGTATACATAACATGATTAAAATTACGCAATACTAGGTAATAAAAACTAGTATTTTGCATTAGAACTTGCTTTTCTGCCTACAATTTTCGATTTGGTTTTTGTAGGTATAAAGTATTGTGCTGTAAGTACGTGTATATACGTATGTATGCACGGTCTCGTGTAGGTAACTATTTGTATGATTTACGCTTTTTATCGTTTCGCCAACAGAATTTGCCGAAACCCATAAGCTATAATCGACGGCGTTTTATCTATGACGTATGTACTACTGTTATATTAATGTCTTTGTAATACTTTATACCAGCATAAAAATTGTATATAGAGTTTTCGTAGTAAATGCCTAGTCTAGTTGATAATTCAGTTCGAAAATTGGACTCTCTAGTTATTATTAGATTTGCTTTATTAAAGTTTTCTACAACAAGATTCAGCAGCTAGTTAAAGTTAAAATGAAATTTTTCTTAGGCTCGTTTTAAACGATCGTTGTCGTGTTTTGTGAAATAAGTTCTGCGATGATTGATAGATAAACGTTGCATTGAAGATTCTTGAGTACTTTTCCCGTCTGCAGAGAAAGTGAAGTAGAGTAACATAGTAGGGGGTACTCGTGCGTAATTAGTTTACCCGGACGGCGGCGCGGCGGGCGGCGGCGCGGCGAGCGTCACGCCGCGCGGGGTGTACCGCACTGCATTAGTATTGCACTTCCATTCAGGAAAAGTGTATTAGAACTGTTAGAATAGAACTAATGGGAGGTTGTACCTTAATGGCACAGTTCCCTTATGATAGCCCTTAATAACTCAGATAGTAATTAATTGACATAATGGATATAACAGTTTCGCTATGAGAAGCTTACATTAGAAAGGAAAATTTTAGTAAGGCCTGCTGGAAGCCGAGCGAAACGAACAAAATAGCAACAGATAGTTTTTTTTAGATACCAAGTGACGGGACGAACAAGTCGTGGGCCTGGTGGTAAGCGACACGCCTGTTCATAACAATAGTTGCAATGCCAATCAGACCTTTAAATCGCACAGATCTGAGGGGTACTGCTATTGCGCCCGTCACGCTGAGACACACCTTTGTGCCTCTAATTTCACCAGCACCCTTGCCCTTCAAAAGTGACTTCTGCTTGACGGCAGAAACGGGTAAGGTGGCAGTACTTCCCTGGATGAAATCTTTCATAAGAAGGTCTACTGCTACTTGATTTTCGTTCAATAAGCTGAGTTTTAAAATGTTAATTCAATAATGTAACGAAATACATTATGTTTACATATACGATAGAGTCGTTAACCGACTGATAGATAGATAGATAGATACACCGAAACGTCAGGTGACGTATTACTCTGATACATACGTTACGTAACAACCAGTGGTTGCGCGCCGAAACTGTTACCTAACTAGAATACTGTTCACTTATTATTCAACGCCACTCTGCACGTCAATGCTGTTACCCCGCGAGCTCCTCGCTTAGCTTGCGTTGTTTCAGATTTATTCGTTAAAACATACTGGAAACCGATACAAAAGTTTTGCATACTTCGCTCGTCTAGTCAAGTTCTGTTTGAGTAACACGAGCGCTTGACACTAACCTTGAGAAATTCATAGCAGACGAATGATATTGTGTTGACGAATATATGAAAAGCCAGCTTATAATGTTTTTTTTTTACGTGAGACGGAGTGTCCACATTAACATTAGCTCAAGGTGACTGCGGCGGGAGTTGCGGCTGACTGAGCATCGGTTGAAAAACGCTTGCTCATACACCTACATGTACCTCACCTTGTTATAAAACAACTCGAAACTTTTTGCTACTAAATTGTTATCGTTTAAAGTTATCACCTTTAGTTACACAATCTAAAATATTTATAAAATATGTTATTGCACTTATATGTAGCCCTTTACATTTATTTAGTCGAGTACGATTTAAGTTACTCTCCATCCGTCTAGGGACAATGCGCCATCTGGATTTTAGGATAGTTGAAAATAAACAAATGAGTAATAGAGAACCGTGTTTGTTGCAGCCGAAGGATCGAGACGTATCGAAGGCGTCAGACGGAGTGCGTCCCAAGATTCGACCAGTCTTTCACCGGCGCCTGCGAGCAGCAGAACTTGGAGACGAGTGCCCTGCAGAAGAGGTTTCTTGAAGGAAAGGCCAAGCGACAAGCTAAGAAAACCGAACGCAAGCCCGATCTACCTGCGATTAGCGGAAACTTGCACAGCAGCGTCCATGTAGTAAGTGGTCTATTGACAATTTTACCAATTCTTACTTGCCGGGAGTGGTGGTAACCCAATGGGAAAACGGCTGTTTCTCATAGTAGATATCGACGGTTTGATTCTATTCTGACTTTAAATTTTAAGATACGTACATACGATATCCCTCCTTAATGGCAAAGGAAAACATCGTGATGAAACCTGCATGATAAAAAAGGTTCGTTGCACTTAGAGAACTTTTGTAGTCCCCAATCTGGATATTGGCGGACTATGGCTTAAACCTTCTCCTTAAGGGAGACCTGTGCTCAGCATTGGCACGTATAATATTTTGATAATGTTAATGTTGTTTGTGTTAATATCATTTACTTGTTTTCTTTAAGCGATTTCAATGTTCCTAGCGTACATCGCAACACTATTCCTCGATTGCGTGTTTCACCTTGGAACTTCGCGACCTTGTCCCATCGTTCTCATCGTACTCGAATAATCCCAATAAAGAAAAAAAAAGCATATTATTACATTTCATTACATGTATTGGATCAATACGCTCTTGAAGGTGAAAGCGCATATGTAATCTTTTAAAGTAATTACGTGTCTATTGGATGATTGGATGTAATGTCGGAGATAGAGCGTGCGGAACTCGTATACATAGGCGGCGTTGTGGCGCAGCCGAGGCGCGATGGGCATGGTGGTATTGTCACCTTGCAGTCATTGATTGAACATTCCTTGAATCGAATTTCTTCATCACCGATGAAAATAAATTATCTCTCCTAATCGCAACACTTTCAAAATCCGATCTGTTGCAATAGTGGATTACACCTTTTGTCATAGCTGATTTTTTGTTTAGGGTCTAGTACGTATGTAATTACTAGCATTAGGTATGTATGTACAAGGATTGTAATGCGGTAACTATTACAAGGTTGCAATAACTTTTTTATTTAAAAAAAAAACCGACCTCAAAAGTTTGCTTATCGGCTTTTTATTGGAATTACGTCTATTTGTCAAGTTTTATTGCAGTTGGTTAACGGGAAGTGCGCGAAACCGGATTCATTCCCTAATTTGCCATCCTTAGAGGTGAAATATTTTCTTCAAATTGAAATGGAACCAATACTGAGGTACCCTCTTTCCAACAAAGAATCATCAAAATCGGTTCATAATCGGAGTAATCGCGTAACATACACACAAAAAAATACAGTCGAATTGAGAACCTCCTCCTTTTTTGAAGTCAGTTAAAAAGGACTTTCTTGTGATATCTCTCGTGTATTCGAATAATGTACACAGATTACATTGTGGATATATCTCAGACTTAACGGGACTAACTTGGGACTTTGTAGTTAAGGGTCGAGCTTGGACTAAAGCATTCAGCGCTCAGAGTGCAAACCGTTGGACCATAGAAGTCGTCAAATATTTTCAGTCTTTGTTTTTGGCTTAGAAGCTAACTTCGATTTCTAAACGTTTATAATACGAAGTCCTTAAAATGCAACTTGTTGCCACGCAACCTACCTTCATAAGAAAGTAATTAGTACAGCAGCACGTGGAGTGTACGCGCCTAGTCGCCGTTGCCGGATGCTATTCGCCGTCAATTGACTTGACCCTCTGCCACCATATCCCGTGCCTCGCGCGATTACACTCAGCACGCGACGTCGAACCAACAAGTGTTATCGCACTAGCCAATTACAATTAAACAAAATAAATACAGATAAAAATAATAGTTATTTATCCACCTTACACAAAAAATACAGAAAATAAAAATAAATATCGCGGTCAAAAGGGTTAAAGACTGCTCATCGTAGAATTGCTGATTTTCATCACTTGTAGTTATTTGCTTACCCTATTAACCGAATTGAATCATCGTTCAATCCATTACCAGTCCAATCACGACTGCGATGCCATAAGGCGATTGTTATTTTCAACATATTGTTGCCAGTGAGTGGCCTTCGTATTCGAGAGTGATAGGCTGACGCTACTTAAAGTTGCAGTGAATGAGGCGTTATTGTCTTCTATACTAAAACACGGTTATGTTGACTGCTTTAACTTTGCAGAAAGAAAGTAGTAATTGTTGTGTGTCCATAAAATAATGTTAGGTTTTGTTTATTTTTATAATAGGTTTTAGGCTCTTTAACTGTTGTCAACACGTTAATTATGTTCATAACACGTTGTATTTCTTCCATATTTTCATACCGCATAGTCTGATTAACCAATTGAGCTTCACTCCCTTCAGGAGACTGTTTCAAGATCATGATTCGATTTTCCTGTTTATGTAGTCATTATTGCGACTGACCTCAATGAGTATTGTGTTATCTTAATTGTAGTTCGTTCTGGCATTATCTGCAGGGAGAAGGAAATAATTGAAATTATTTTTTGTCACAGTGATCCGAATAAGTATTAACGACTTTAGGAAGTGTATGTAAGGGCTTCTACTGCTGGTAGCTGGTAGTATGTGGCTGGCGTATTTAGTGATATGCATTTCTAGCGACGCGGAATACTTTCCACGATCTCCGCACATAAGCTTAAGGTTCTGTATTGACACCTTATATGACAATTAAACATAGTACAAGAGATAGTTAGTGCCTAGTTCGGTAGGGCGGGCATCGGCTGCGGTTGTGCAAACTGTGCAAGTTTCACAACAAACACCTCGCATTGTCTCGCGCCGCTCACCGCGACGACCTCCGAGCGCCTGCGCTGTTTTCTGACACATTTCAACTACGTACTCTATCTACCTATGACCAGTTGAAGGCATTGAGATTATAGTATTCTTTCTCTAAACCGGAATAAAACTGCCTTTTTTATTCTTTTTAACTCTGCACATAAAAGATGATGGTGCTAAGTTGGAAGCGGACTCCCTGCGTTTGTTTGTGACCTCTAACGGATCGCTCGATCTTATGTGTCATTTTCATATGTCTATAACATGTTCTTGTTACAGACAATCCTTCCACCTTCCGTTGGCGCTAGTACCTATCATGATTATACGAGTACGAGCTAGCTCAATATTGGGAAATGCATCATGCATGTTGGGGGAATTTCCTAGCACCCACTTTCATGGCACCCTTCAATTTATGGCTAAAGACTCACGAAAACACGCTGAATCGCAACTGTGGGCTACCCAGCGTTCCTCCGCTTATGGTGAAATCGTTTCGAAAAATCATAATAACCATTAAAAATCTCCCGAGATTGGTGCTTTGTATCAACTTACGAAAATTAGCATTAGTGCTGTTATTTATGTGAAAGCTGGTTTTGCGAGATAATTCATACTTATTTGAATGCAGCCCTTGAACTATGCTTATAGGGTCTCGATTGTCACAAGATTCCTTTAAGGCTGTTCCCTGAGATCAGATTTTATTAAGTAATTTACAGAAAGGGAATATTACAGATATAATAGGTGTTTGAACAGTTGGTGGCAACAAATATCCAATCATGTTATTACAAACATTTGGAAGCGTGATCGTACATCTAAATCGAGCTTATCTTTGCGTTCTTGTTATTTGTACTATTTGCTAAAGACAATTAGCGGTCTAATATTACTAATTATTAAAATGCGTCTAAAATATTTAGTTTATGCTAATTTGCAGTCATTAAATTTTTTTTTAAAGAAGTTAAAAATGTCCATATGTATTATACGAATGAAATTTTTTAGAATATAGGAATATTTTCTTCACCTTAGCAACACTGATTAATGTTATTGTAATAAAATTGATGCATCATTACCATCATTACTAAATAATTAGGTAAAAAAATTCACGGCAAATTAAATGTCCCGAATACAAAACAATATCATAATAAACATTGTTACATATACAATGTTAGCCAGTCCAAGTTGTTACCTTAGAAGGTGGAGTGTTTAACATTAGCACTTGTCGCACGTGACCACTGCACGTGTTTAATCACTACAAGGTCATAAACATTATTCACTTATTTTCCATGATAAATATTGCGGATGTTGATATAGAATTGCGATTTATTTCCATTATTCGTGATATAAATTGCGATTGCTTTCGAATTCCAATGTGTACTATCATTTTAATGTATTGAATTGCAGAATCTACTACCTAGGTTAACTAATAAAAGTTTCTTATTTCATATAACATGTTTAACTGACCTGATGTAATAAAATATCTAGCTACCAACTAGCGATAGAAAACGCGCCATGATATATTTGCATACTGCGTTTACATTACCTTATTTACGTTATAACACCACTGTTGCGCACGGGGCTTTTAGGATGGGGGAATACTATGCCGTAATCCGCCATACTGCGTCATTACGACTTGAGACTACTGGGACTTTCTTTATAGCATTTTACTTTATATCTTATCTATAGGCATGCAGGTTTGTCGCTCGCGATATTTTAATAATTTTTATTCATGTTATGGGTTATCGTTTTTTTTACTTACGCCAACTGCGTTTAAATCCTCAATTGCGACGTAATATCAAGCAAATTAGAAGTTTTTATGTCAATGATACAGTGAATCGAAAGAAATAAATTGCTTGACCTTCGACCGTTACCTGTTTACAACTTGAGTGAGTGGCTGTTTAACTAATAATTAATGCTGCACAGATGCTACATACTTGGTTTTCAGTCTGATGGATATAATATATGTATGTACGTATTTGTCACCTCTTTCCATTGCCAACCTTCAATCAAGAACCTTTATTTTCTTTCTGTTATATGTATACGGAACAATATGGATAATCTTTGTTATTAAATATTTTTCTAAATTTTAAAGTGTGGTATTATTACAATATTGTATGTACTGTATATGAAATTGATTTCGAAGCGGAAAAAGACCCAGGTCGTGCGAATAATAACTGATTACGTAGATCACAGTCGCGCACTTCCCCACCTGTATGGCTCAATACTGACACAAATTCGTTCAATATAAATAATAGTTTATAATTTACTGTCACATTTTTCTATTTTATACACAACATTGATTTCGTTCAGTGTAATACATTAACAAGGTAAGTATTATGAACGCATCAGTAACAAAGTATTTATATTTATATTTATTATAACGATTTATTTTTGAGTGTGTTCATACAACACAGCACTTCGATATCAATTAAGTGTGATGTGATTGATTATAATCCTATAAATTTTTTACGAACGCTTTCAAAGAATGCCGAGGTAATTTATGTGTAATGTACGTACCTTTTTGAGAACCCCGATAGAACCAATTAGATAAATTAATATTTCTAAATTGTTTCTGGGTTGTGTCCCGGAATGAATTCCGTTGCTCTGATACGCATAGTACGGGGAATTCCCTAGTTTGAGACCAGGTGATTGGTGTGGTTGTTTGGCACATTATTGTTACTTATATTAATTGATCATACAAGTTCAATTTCTAAAGCGATGTGGTTGTTCCAGCAACAAAAATTTGGGTGCGGTGATTACGAACCTCCAGCGAAGCTTCAATGCGGCGGGGGAGGCGGCGGCGGTGGGGCGGGCGAGGCACTCACCAAGTTTTCAGTGGAAATAGTTCAGCAATTGGAATTTACCACCTCCGCAGCCGACTCTCAGCCTCAGCAGATTTCCACCAACGTTACCGTAAAGGCTCTCGCCAATGCCGTCAAGACATCGGGATCACCTCCGCCTACTCAGCAGCCGCCTAGAATTCCGACTCCACTTGATTGCGAAAGAGAATGTAAGGCGGAATGTAAATCTGAGATAGGAGACGATGAGTTTGTAGGATTAGACGAATGCGCGGCCGCTCTAGAAAGGGATGCCGCGTCAGCCTTCCCGGGACTAGCGGAACTCATCGGCGAAGAAGATGGAGATGACACGACGACATTCGAGGATCTTATTACGGAGATATCGGAGTACCCCGAGTTTATGAAGGACTTTGATTTGGATGGGGGGAAGTTGAATGGTGGAAACGTGGAACCGCAGGAAGGTGAGCCAGCGCCGCGACCGTACGGCGGCGGTGAGATGTCGCCGGCGGCACAGACTCTCAAGCATATGGCGGAGCAGCACCAGCAGGCCACAGGCGGTGACTGGCGCTACCGCGGCTACGGCGCCTACCGCCCTCGCCCGCCTCCACCGACCATGGACCACATTCATATGTCTCAGCAGCAGCAGATGCATCTTTCGCAAACGCCTCACAATTTACAGGTGAGTCTTGTTTCGTCTGTATTAACAACTTGAAACCCTTAAATTGTATATATTTCTTAAATTTTCCACAAATGTCAAAAAAGTTTCTGATGTGGTTACTTGGCTCCACACTGACCTCAGTAGTTAACTAATATTTTTGTACCTGTGACTCGTGTTTTGCTGAGATTGAAACCTAATCAAACAAGATATGAGATACAAATACTTCGAAGTAATTTGATGTGCGTTTCGCAACATTCATATTCGGTTCCCGCCAAAATCGCAAACGAAAACTTGACAGTTAAGTAGTTTGTAAGAAAAGTTGCTCTTTTGTCTTCAATTGTTATTGCTTCGTATCGTTTTATTTTACCAATGCATGTCCACCAGCAATGTTATTACTTCTTCGCCACGTCATAAAATGTACTCACTGAAATGCGTTTAGTAATTGGAAGTCTTCTTTATTGGGTAATTCGTGACGTGAAAGGACATAAAAAACATGGGAGTCTGGTGTAGTATCGACCGGTAGCGGCTTGCGCGCGCTGCTCGTTCGATGGGGAACTACTACAGGACTTTCGAGTCGAACACGTCTCGCATAAATTTTGTGTCTCTTTCTGGCTCACGGGTTCTATAACATCAAGTATTTCGATTGTTTATTAGTGTAGGAATTTATATAGCGACTTTCTAATCGAGATAACGTAGTAGCATCTCAGGCTATCCTATTAGTCTGCATTCGCCGTCGCCAAGACATGCAATCTTCGATGCAGAACATCGCACCCGCCGCCAGCCGGCCGCTGCAACGGAATTGAATAGCTTCGATTTACAAACATGCGCCATTCAATAACTAAATATTTTGTTGTGCGTGTAATTAAACCGTATTGTAATATTATAAACACGAAAGGAATTCGTTCTTAAAGTAGTATAGAGTAAGTATCTAGGTAATTTCGAAGAGAAAAGAGATTAATAAATGTTTTAGTACCTATTTTAGTATTAGTAACATAGTAACGTTACTAAATACTAAAATATACTTATACTATGATATGATGGTCTACTGCTGCAATGGAAAAAAGCAATTGCTTTAAATCGACTCGCACAAAATTAGCATAATTATCATACTTTGCATTGGGTTAAATGTTAAACTAAACACGTGCGTGGTAGAGAGCCGTTTTGCGAACCCACAGATGTGTCGAAAAAGCCACATGTTTGCCTTTATTAAAACTGTGCCCTTTTAACCATGTAAACAAGCCTCAATGTTACCGTAGAATTATAGGGATTGCTATGCCAGTATACACAGCCAAGAGTTTACTCGTATATGCAGACAAAGCGGTTACATTTCGGAACGTAACGAAATAAAAACGAGCAGACAGTTTCACTCTCGGGGACTTGACTGAGTGGCATTGGCAGGACGACACGGCCGATGACACTAGAAGTGTTTGAATGGAACAAAAAGTGTAGGTTCCCGACTCGCGGCGGCGCATTGCTTCCTGTACCGACACCACGTGTCCCTCAGCCGCCATCACTATCTCGGCACTCCCGTAATTAAAAACAATCCCGCCAATCGTACCTATATATATATATATATATATAGTGAGAGATTTTTTTAATATTACACTAGGGCATAGGGCATAGGGAAATATGCATTTCCGTTATTAGTTTTGTTGGGGAAATGTAATGAAATTAACTACTGAATGGTAGCTTTAATTACCTAGTCTGATAGTTCATTCTTGATTATCTCATTTATTAATCGATCGAGCGTAAATCTCAGTCACTCGTCTTGCATTATTGTTATACTTATTTTAAAGTTTTATTGAATTGATATTCAATTATATTTTGTGAAATTACTCCACTAGTTTGTTATAATTATTCATACAAAGATCGAACACTCAGAATAAAATTATTTCGATCCGGCCGGATTCAAACCGACGTCTTCTAGCCTACCTTGCCAGACGCTACACCAACTAAGCCACGGAACGAACCAGCGGACATCACGAATTTTTCTATATGCTTGTTGTCGTGTCTTAGTATTTGGTTTTTCAACGACTTTTTAGTCGTAGCGCCATCTATGAGAAATGTTTGAAATTTATTGTTATATTTTTAAAGTTTTATTATACTCGTATTATACTACAGAGCCTTCAATTCGTCAAGTAGAAAAAAGTTACAAAGGTTTCTTACTTTCGATTGCTCAACTCTCTAGGAAAGTTTCAAATGTTTTTAACAAAAATATTGTAAGGTTTCGCAGGCGGCTCCAAGCAGTGTATTTTTTAAGAAAAATGGTACAAAATGGTGTCCATAGTATGTATTTTATAGTAAAACGTTTGATTTTATGCCGATCCTCATGGTTTTTTAGATAACAAAGGTACGAATGTAATAATTATCTTATGGACTGGACTTATCGGATACTAGTTATGACGATTTGTCATATCGGGGAAGAATTAATGTTTATGCTAATGCAGCCAGTCAGTAGTGTGAGATAGAGTAGACCTTGCACTCTAGCATTGTTGACTAGGGAACGTATACAGATAAATACTTACCTTGTTGCTAAGCAAAGCAGCTTCGATGGTGACTACGTATTATCACATTGCTGTTTGAGAACACATTTAGATCTGATGTAAATGACGTAATAAAAATTGCTTCCTAACATAGAAAATTCATTTTGTCTACGTCTTGCGAAGGTAATGTTTGTTTTATAGGTACTTTTTTACGAGTTGTATAAAATTTTAAAACAGTGGCATTAGCGAATCATTCCTTGTTTGAGTCAATATCGATTGACCTTATGTACTTATATAGTATTACATATCAGATTATCGATGTAATTATAGCGAATGTGTTGTCTTGGTATTTGCGCTCAAACAGAAGCTTGTGTGCACTATTTTATATTATTATTCGATCCTGAAAAACGAGTTACCTTTGACCCTTGCAGCTATGGTGGGCGTCAGTGACGTAGCCGCGTGCGAAGCTCTATTTGTGTAATAACATACAGCGGTCGTTGGGATCGTGACGTCACTGTAGGGCAAAGACGGTACTATAGGGACTTCGTTGTCTTCAGAACATTACTAAATTACTTTTACTATCTACCTTCTCTCAGAATAAATTCAACCATTCATTCATCTTTTTTTTGCGCACAAAATGATTTTTTTCATAAAGTTTCATTTATGGTAAAATAAGGTGCGACGAACTGTTTCGTGACGTAGGTGTGTAATAATGTAATTGTGTTTTAGAATACGGAGTACAAATTTGTAAGTCGATCCCGAAGCTATTTCTTAACAATTACCGATAAATTATTTTTATTCCACAAATAACTTATTATTGAAAAAAATCTTGTTTCCATGTAAAACATAATGGTTGCCACTAAAGCCGATAAGCAAATTTGAAACATATATGTGTATAATGATTCGTAATTTAAGTTAAATTTTTATAAGTACATGCCGACTATGTGCGGTAATAGTTAGCAAATAAATGATAACTTCGTAGTATGTATGCATGATCGCAAATAATATTCAGTTGCAGTTGTAAATTCTTGTAGGTAGTGAAGTGTTGTGGACGACAGGCGGTCGGTCGCTACGAGGTACCTCGGTCGATTTTCTGCGAATCTCGCTATACCAATCTCTCTATCATCTATTAATTTTCCCCTGCAAAATTCCGTCGAAATACTCCATACTTATTATATAATTTATTAAAGTGGATATTAAATTAACCATACTCGGTAGCATAACTGTCATTATCCAATCTCTAAAAAGGTTTCATTAAACATTTTGGTAATTCGAATATTCGTATTCGGCGAACGATAAACAGTTACCGTGTATTCTATACCGTGTATTCTATATTACCGTGTATATTATAGTGGCATTACAATATGCGTCTTAAAATTATCCAGCGCAAGGGTGTAAGTGCGTTGACTTGCGTTGAGAAAATGATCATGAAATAGTTTTCCCTTACGTCACTGTAAGACACAGTCATTAGAGTTCTTCGAATACTGCCGCCTTACCTATTTCTGCCGCCAAGCAGTAATGTGAGCATGCATGTGCGTTCCGGTCTTGAAGCTGGGTGCTGGTGAAATTATAGGCACATGGGACTTGTCAGTTTAAGTCTCAGGTTGACGGGCGCGGTGGCAGTGCCCCACAGATTTTCGGGTTTTAAAGCAACTGATATGAACCGACGCGACGTATCGCTTACCACCAGGCGCACGATTTGTTCGTCCCGTCACTTGGTACCATAATAATCTCAGTACAGAGTACTAAAAAATCGACCTCAAAAGTACGTGGAATTAAATATATTACCAAGTTTTATTGAAATCGGTTACCGGAAAGTGCGCAAATTCCCTGTTCGCCACTATAAGGATCTTGACACAGGAGATAATAAAAATCGGTTCGAACTACTCAAAGTATATTGAGAGAAAAACGCCTTGAATTGGAGAATAGCAAAATCAACCATTAAAATAATTGCTCTTTATAATAAAATTTAGCTGCTATTTATAAAAAATAATTTTCATGCGTGAACAGCCGCCATTAGAGGTGGATGATTTTCTTCAAAATTAAATCGGACCACCATGGAGGTACCCTCTTTCCAACAAAAAAAGAATCATGAAAATCGATTCACAAATACCGGAGTTATCGCGTAGCATTATGTATGTGCAAAAAAAACCTAGTACAATTGAGAACCTCCTCCTTTTTTTGAAATCGGTTAAAAAGTAAACAATCTACAAAGTCTAAATCAATTTATTGTAAATAATACCAACGTAACAAATTTTTATTATATAAATCGAAAGAAATTTGTAATCGCCGAATACTTGTTCCAACATTAGTATTCATGAAATTAGTATACATTGCATCACTACTTTAAACGTATACAAATTAACGTATAGTCTATTACAATAAATATATAATCTGTAATAGTTAAATTTATCAGAAGCCTCTGGCAAGGTAGGTACAATAACATAAACATAAAGATTTGTCTTTCTAAATTCCAGTGATAATCAAGTGTGCACATGTTCCATAGTACAGTGAACGCTAAACTTGTGTCCATATCATGACTGTACGGCGTTAAAGTATATTTGAACGTAAAATTTTAGTAAAGATACGCTGTATAAACTATACAAATATTTTAGTGTCACACCACTGTCACATGATATTTCACGGTAAAACTACTAAACGGTCAAATTCAGTAAAAATCTATACATTAAAAATGATTGACGTTCGTTTGAACGTATATCAAAATTTTACCTACGTTCATCATGCTTAAAATTGCATAATTAGGAATTCGAAGTGCACCTTTTAGTTATTTTCAGTTTCAATCTTGACTGTACATTTGATATATTAATGATTATTATATTTATTGATTTTTGCTAAATGTGCAGCAAATTAAGCATGTTGTAAGTTTAGGTAAAATTGAACTTTTTGGATGCTACGGATTTATTTTACTGTTCCAATCGTTTTGACGCTGACTGTACTTTTGAGATTAATTTATGAACTACTTATAATGATGTAATCGATAGACATTTTTATGTAACACTAGCGTAACTTATACAGGGTATATCAAAGAGATTCAGTCAACATGTGCTGTTGGATCACCAACAACAGACTATTTTTTGTAAGTATAAACTTACGATAACATGTAAAATAACATAATTTAAAAAATACAATAATTTTTTACTTGTACAATTTTAGTCGCGGTCGACATAATGGAAAATTTCTATAAAAAGCGACATTATAGTATTATTTTACAAATTTGATTGAATTTTTTGTTGTGCCTAGTCGCTGACTGCAGTTAAAAAGTCTTCCCGCTTTCACTAAAGCACCTTGGTTCCATGCAAATATGCTGTCAATTTTATTATTTTACGATGTAACTAGGTGCGCTAATGTTTTATCATTACTTAATTTTAATTGATTGTATACGGACAGAATATAGACACTCAGAGTTCCGTTCTCATGAGACGGTCCTTACCTGCTCGTGATACCATCCTTGGGTCGTTTGGAAACGCGATATACGATTAGATAACAGGTGCCGTTAGGTCCGTCAGACATTACAATACGGTGCGACTATGCACCGTGCACGGCTTAGCGGCTTTAGCACGCATATTATTGGCGCGAGCAACAAAAATTGCGGGTAGAGCGGGCGGAGGGTATATGGTATTCTGTGCGGGAGGCGAGTGCTTCGGAACTGGTTTACGTTCGGCGAGCGTGATGTGCCGCTCACATCTCCGGCTGGCAGCTGTCACCGGCATGCATCACCCAACTCCTAATATAAGTAGCCTCATAAGTCTTTGCCTTTATGTGTCTTCATTTTTAAATAAACCAGGTAAACTACTCTTTTTATAAATTCAAACAGTGTTGGAGTCTTTATGTGGATTAATCTCAACCAAAATAATTACATTATTAATTCCTAAGTGTTATGCGTTTACGGGTTCTACAAAGATATATGAATAAAGATACAAACGGAATTTTTTAATTGCTCAATTATTAAACTGGTTTATTTTGTGGCGTAGTTTACACTGTTATGGTACTTTTGGAAAATTTGATAAAGCATATTTTTATACATAGTTTCCTCATTGATAAAAACCTCCGTAACTTCTATATTTCATAAACTAATTCTTTTGCTAATTATTTTTTTATTATTATTATGGAGCTTATTAAAATGAAATGGGACCCTCGCAAGTTCTGGTATGGGTTTAAATACGCAGCGTGGCCCATCATGACGTAATGTATCGCTCGCATTAAGCACTTTTCGAACATTTATTCACATTACATTTACATTATGTACAATTATAAAGTAAAAAACTGCACTCATTGTATTTATTTAGTTATTTCCAAAATAATATTTAATTTTTATGCGAACCTCGTAATGTTAATTTTATGTGAACGAACGTCAAAAGGTAACCATAAGCCAAATTAAATGTGCTGATAAGACCCAACATTCGTACATGTAATTAATTGAACATGTACCCTACCGCATACTTTAGTAAACTTTATCTTGTCCAGTTTTTCGGGTTAACGAACGCCGTACATATTTGTTCTAAATGGCCTTGACATAGTGTAATCTCATCAATGTATTCAAGACAATATATAAAATCTGTTTTAACCTTTAAATATGTCCAATATACTTTGCATGTTAAGTATGTTATTTTTCAAAGTATGTAGTCTGTTTCCGTACTGCTTAGCTATGTCATAATGCTGGTAACGTTTACGTGGATCAAGAATTTGCTGTCGTAAGCACCGTTGTAGTGAAGCAGTAGGTACATAGGTTCCTACCAATGGCTAACTAGGGTTTCTTTTTCTTCCTGACTTAAGAGCTAAGATCTTGCCGGTGGAGTAATTGCCAACCGTTTCTGTTCATAGCTCTAATTTTGATATCCTGATACGACAAGCGATTAAAAGTTAATGACTTATTTGATGTGAATAACTACGTCTCGGCCTTTTTCTGCCTCTCTTTCCCTCGATCTTCCCTTCTATGATTGATGCTTCTAAGAAAACTGTCGTGACGAAATGAGAACTAGTCAACCAATGTATATATAATGTATTCTGGTAATATCTATGAAATTATGTGAAAGGTATTTAACTGCATCTTATACAATACAATGATATAATACAGTAATGTGGTCATTGTTGTTGCTCAGGTGTCGGCAGCGCAGCATATGCAAGCGAGCGTTGGTTCGGGCGGAGCACACGTCTCTGTAGCAGCACAACAAGGAATGTACGCCAGTTTCCAGCATCAGAACACACCATCGCCACAACACCACCAAAGTAAGTACTTTTATCGTAATTTGGTCCTTCCAGTAATACAGCGTTTCTTTTACCAAGGAGAAACATAATTAAATCTAGTACTTATATATGAAACGTGCAATAATGTACTTAAAATAACCTAAAAAAAATTGGGCCTCATTATTATGAAATGTTGAAGTATAATGCATGGCTGCCTGAAATATGGGCAAACCGTGGGTAGTCCTACTGAACTCCGGATATTGTTGTACCAAGGTTGTACCTATATTTGATGACATTTTCAATAGAATGATGATTGCAATTTCTATTAAAAAAGACATCAATAAATGCATTACGATGACAGATAGTGAGTTATTTTTACAAGAATTCACACATTTAAAATATTAAATCTGCGGTAGTACTTAACGCTTTGTGAGTGATTGAGTTTAATACACAATTAGGAAGGTGGCGCTGCTGTATTTGCGTTATTGACTTTGTTCAAATTAGGTAGATAAATTAGTATTCTATTATTCTACTTTGAAGCTAGTTCAGCTTTTATTCACAAATTCACCGGTTTAAGTATAATTTTAAGTGGTAGTTATCTATTGGTAAGTATGTGAAGTGGGTATATTTTATAGGTACGCTAATCACTGCAATAACATGTTGTCCAAATACGACATAGCAACAAAATAACAGCGACGAATGCACATAGAATTTTGGATTTCTAATTATATCCCTGTGTATCATTTGATTAAACGTCTGTGACTCACACAATGGAAATGACATAACAAAAATGTCACTGTTGAGTATGTAATAAGTACAATAATAAATAACATACACACGTCTCGCGTTGTCTCAACTCACGAGTACATCGATGCCACTCCATTCCAATGAAATGCTAAACCTATGACTCAATTCCGGCCCGGGAATTGTTCCTCACTGAGTCCGCAAATTCGTGTACCCATCTGGTTCAATCTATGGACGATTTGAATACAGACACTTACGGTTAAGTGTTTTAGCCTGCACGGCGAAAAGAAAATAAAAACATCGCGTGTTGACTTTGTTTTTCATAATAACACACGTTTGTTGGTACAGAGCAAAGTGCGCGTAATCTGTGTTTTCGGTTTGGTCCTGCAAGCGGGGAAATAGTAGCTTTATCTCGTGGCATTAAGTGCTGTTGCGGTGGCGATAGTACCGCGCGGGGAGGGTTGTCGAGGTTGACGATCTGCGGGAATGCGCCGTCGCGCACCTCGGGGTTGACATGACATAGATTGACGTCTTTATTGCACCGGCTACAAATTGTTTCACTTTACGCACTTGTTACCTGACTGGAATGTATATAAGAGAGAATGGAAAAGTATTCTTCGATTATGCGGCCTTTAAATATTTGCAATTCATTAACGAAATCACGCATATTTATATTGATTATTGAACGGGAAATGTCGTTTGGCTTCTTATTATTACATTACATGGGTCTATATTATGTGAATATATTTGTAGGTTTGTTCCCTATGCTTGATGATTATGAAGCGTAGGTATTGCATAAGTCTTTGCAGTCACAGTAACTTATGTCGTTTTTACATCTATATAATCTGACTAATGAATATCTCGACACATGGTCATTAGTGACTGTAGATGATAGATTAACTTTCACGCGTAGTAGTTTAAATCGGAGTATAATTTAGAAGATTGAGTAAGAAGAGTTATCGTTCCAGGTAGTGGGTGTGACACCTATTCTGTGTCTCAGTCGCAGAGCATTAACTTCTCGCAAGCGATGCGCGCCCGGCCGCAAGGACCTGCGCCGCCCAGTGCCGCGCCCGGGCCTGGTCCCCCTCAGCCTTTAGGTTTGCGAAATTATTACGGGCAATGCTGTCCTACTTACTTCCAACATCAACGTGGTATATACGGATACGAAAGTGGTGTTCGAATCGGTGTTCTTTTTTCAACAGGAGTGGTGGCCGCGGGGATATCGCGTGAGCAGCAAGCGAAGATGCTGCAGCAGCAACAGCAGCACATGCTGCGGGCTCAGCAGCAGATGCGGCCGCCGCCACCGGAGTACAAGGCGCGCTTCGCGGGCGCCGGTGTGGGTGTGGTCGGCGTGGGCGTCGGTGCGCGTCGCCCTCCCGCGGCTCCGCGCGCCTTCCCGCCGCACGCGCGCCAGTACTCGCCCGAGTGGCGACATGTCCTCATGCAGCAGCAGGCCGCCGCCAGGCACCAGTTTCCGCATCATCATCAAGGTATGCTCGATTGTTCACTTCAACAACAACTGTCTTAGATACACCGGGAAACCTCTTTCGAGCTGCGACGAAGGTTAGACTCTTGGACAACATAGTTCGCCTATTCGTCTTGACTATAAGTATCGTAAAATGTTTTCTAGTGAATGTACAGAGTTAACTTTGCTAACTAGAAACCTTTTAAGGCTTTCTATCGTGTAATCAAAACAACTATTGTGTCTTTTGGAAATTTGGATTTTTTTTTACTTCCTATACATATCCACTAACATCTGGTGTAGATATGTATCGGTATTAGAAAAAGTTTTTGTAAGTTGTAGAATTTTGTAAGTTGATAGGAATGTCCTGTTGTTGGGAATTTTCGAGTAAATTAAAAGTAAACTCTTTTGTGTAGAGTTAGAACATCGTTTATTTTGTTTCACAGGTTTCGGGATGGGTGGCATGGGTGGTGGTCTAACGCAGCAGCAACAACAGCAGATGCAGCTGCAACAGGCGCGCATGCAACAGCAGCAGCAACTCATGCAACAGCAACAGAGGTCTGTCATACCAACTACTCGTACTAGTTCCATTGTGATGTTGGACTATGTAGTTATCATTATACTACATAGACACATTTATATTGATTACGAAGCTAAAAAGACTAAACGAAGTGATAAAAAAATGTTAATTTTAGAACTTTAACTTGTTGTAAAGAATAATATTTATATTATTAATATATTATTAATATAATTATAATGAATATTAAATTTTTAATTATGAATATTATTGCTTTACGAGTATGAACTACGGATAATTGTAAGAGACGTACAATTATGAAAGTCACCTTGCGACACGATTAGCTTGTTTGTTTTATATCAATTGTAATGTTTACTTTCTAGGACGAATCAACAGTCGCCAATGTCTCATCTCATTATGCAGCAGAATCAGATGATGAATGTTCAAGGACAGGTAGCTATATATAATATATCCAAAGTTGTCAGATATATTTATTATTCATGACGACGATGTCAATTGATTATATTGTTTATTTTTAGATGCCAAATATCCATATGAGCCAGTCGCAAAGTATGTCGATGCAACAAGGCGGTATGGGTAACATGGGCGGGCACCAAAGCGGCCCTATGCAAAACGGACCGATGCAGAGTCAGAATGGTCCTATGCAAGGCCAGGGTGGGATGCACCCGCAGAACAATCCAATGCAGAATTCCATGATGTCACAGAACGGGCCGATGCAGAGTCAAAACGGAAATGATGCCAACTCGTTCCCCTCGCTGCACAACACGTCTTCCTTCACGGGACAAACGGCAGACTTCAATCTCGACTTCCTCGACAACATGCCTTCCACAGACGCGAGCAACCTCACCGCGCAAGAGTTACTCAACTCTTTAGACAATTCATTTTTGAATGACATATTGTAAACGTGCAATGCACTGGACGGACTATTTATAAATCGTAATTGACACATTTTATAGTTAATTAGATGTCCAATGTGGACAGAGTGTATTCGAAACGTACTTACGTTCTGACATGCAAGTTTGTGACCAATATAAAACGAATCATGACCAAAGTTATCACAGGAATTTAACTCCAGAATTTAATGGCTACAAGATCATTTTATATAAGTAACGGAAATCTTCCAAATCTCTTAACACTTTCGGACACATTGTTTTATAGACCTATTTATTGTCGAAATATCCATTCATATTTTATAGTTTAATTTATAGTATTTTATAGTTTTTAAATAACATTGTTAATAATTCTTTTGTAAATATTTTATTGTAATTTTAAGACGTTTGTTTAATATTATGAATATTATATCAATGGAACATAACACCAGACAAAGAATTTTCTCACAACCTATTCAAGTTTCTTCGTACGAAATGATAATTTTAATTTTGCTACATAGTAGGATTAAATATATTTTTTGCAAATAATATTATAGTAGCACATAATGTTTAAAGCACAAAAGACAATCAACTTTTATTTGCTTGATAAGAAATTATTAACTATACCTCTCGTGTTGCCAGTTTGACTAAAAGTTAAAAATAAAGTTACATGTATGAACATGTATCAAAGCGTAAATTGTCCTATTTGAATCCATTTGAAACGAAGATGGGAAAGTAGAATTTTAAATAGGACAATCGGTTCCAGTATATGGAATGACAGAGGTCGTGTTACAGCAATAAATTTATTTATTTATAGATTTTGTATTTTATAAAAGGTAAAAGTCATAATTTATTCGTTTTTTGGCCCTTTTTGGGCCTTTGTCGACAAATTGTCTATTGTCATCTTTTTCGACCACAATGATGGCCGTACAGGCGTTTAATTATAAATCAAATAGGGTGGTTATTTCCACCTCAAATCGGCCCAATCCATATTATTATAATATAGTGCAAATGTAAATTTTTATGTAATTAGATATAATGTAAGATCATTCCCGTACCTAAGATAAAGTAGGTTATACTGTGATGTCGGTCTCAACGGTCAATAGGTAATGTTATAGCATCAATTATTATGAATAGATAGATTATTGTTATTGTTAAGGATCTCATGTATAATTTAGGAAAGGGTGTGCGGGATTCTGATATACAGAATGTTCGTTTTTGTTTTTATAATAATTCTTATTTCAACGAATTTTTTTTTCTCTCGTTTTACATTGTTTTTGTCTTTGAAAAAGCGTGAAAAATATTTATAAGATCTTTGAGAAGGAAAATATTATTGAAATAAAAACAATTGACGACCGAGGTTTATATGTCGCAGCTCTCTTTCTAAATCAATCAAACAAAAAAGCAATTTGTGAATGGTAGCAACATTCCAGAGCCATTGTTAATGATGTTTTAACTTTAGGACCAATTTTTGAATGTTCTTTTGAAAATAATATTGCATATTGAAACTTGTGACTACTAATTTTAAAATCCCTTAGCTATAAATGCGTTATGTGATCCTGAATAATTTACACAATTAACCTATACTATAGTATAGTTACGTACATACTACAAACGATGTTTATACAAACGGAGCGAAATACTTTAGAGAACAAGGCAAATTATATTCTTGACTCTGCAACTTATAATAGCAGAATACATAAGTAAATTTAGAAATGTATGGCACAGTAATATTTCCATCATATACCTGTTAGATACTCATCGGCATTTCATCAAGGTACAGTCGGTGCCATAAAATACCTGACCCCCTAACCGACTATTTGGTTTTGAGTAAATTAGCGTGAAGAAAAGTGTTAAGAGAGACGTAAAATACATTTTGGTATGGCTTCCTTATTACATCATTAGTGAATGACTTGTTAAGAAACTTTTGAGGACAATTTGATCTTTAATTATATAAATACAAATTTCAACTAAAAAGCTGAAATTCCTTTTCACTTTTCTATTGAATGCATAAGAAGGCTCTCAGAACCAAAAGGTCGGCTAAGGACTCGGGTACCTTAGGGTATCGACTGTACATAACAAGAATTATTAAATTTTGGCGAGGATGCCTACTTCACCACATGATAGAATCTGCCTGATGTTTATACAGATACTCGGAGAATTTTTCAAGTTTTCCCTCTAAAGCATTTACCTCCGCTGCTAATTCTCATACCATTTCATTTGGTTTACTCGGAAAAATCCTTGGATTCCGTACACGTGGGCTATAGAAGTTATTAGGCTGAATGTACTTAGCCATAATCGGTTCGTCATGTAACGGACCCATTTTGCTTTCGTAGATATTCTCATTAGTGTTATTATCGACGGATTTCATGATGAACGAGTGTACATCCTGTCGTTTCTTCCTGAGACGTATACACGAAAAGACGGTGCTGAGTAGAATGCCCAGTTTAAAAAGAGCCACAATGAAAAGAGCAAACATGAATATGATGTACTGTTGTTGGTACCAGTCTTCCAGTCTGCTAAGGCATCCCTGCAAAAAAAAAGTATTCCTATTTCAAAAATTTTACGCAATGTAACGTAATTATGCTTTGTATTATTGTCGATAACGTATCAAAAAAGTAACAAACGGAAACTAAAGATTATAATTGTTTCACATAATAATAATGATAAGAGTTGCAAGTTGAAGTTCCTTGGTCTCTACCTACCCCGATGGGAGACAGGCGTGATGATGTGCATGTATGTAATAAGACAACCACACCAATTGCCTGGTTTGAAAACCAGATAATTTCCTGTACTATGAGTACCAGAGCAACGGAATTCACTCCGGTGCATTATCCAGAACACTCAGACCAGAACCAATTTAGAAAAGTTATTTTCCAAAAAAAAAGACTTACACAATAGTGAACCAAAGGGGAAAGATTTTTGGGCATCTGCAGTTTGATTTTGATTGCCTCTCCCGATCGGAAACTGCGTCTTTTCCGAGTCGAGGCGCATAATTGCGATTCACAACTGGTCGATCGGAAACATTTGCCATTTCTAATCGGAACAATAGTTGATTTAACTCACAAATTAGAATGATATAGTAGGAATCAGGTTCATCTTCTCACTCAGAAACCCATCTGATTTCGAGGCTACCCGATCGGATCGATTCCGATTTGAATCAAAATCAGCACGCTCAAACGTCATGACAGTTTTCTTAGGCTCAATTATTGCGGCGGAACGGAATGGAAGCAAATTTTTGTAACGATATTGTACACAGCGTAATGAACTTTATGGTCAATTGTGTAACGTACAAAGTAGATACGAGTCAAAAATCACGTCGCAGGAATTCCGCGGAATTCTCGCGCATGCTCGAGAATGCTAGCGCATTTGCGACAATTCCATAACTGCCGGCGGCGACGCTTGGCGAATCCGCGGGTAGTGGCGCGACGGCAGCCGCGGTCGCTGGAATGCTCGAGCATTGCAAGGACCGCGCGCGCCTTCTCGCGCACCGAAGCAAAATTGACGCTTTCATCCATTCCGTTCCGCCGCAATGTAAATTGAGCATTAGAAACATCTGATTTCGAGGCTACCCGATCGGATCGATTCCGATTTGAATCAAAATCAGCACGCTCAAACGTCATGACAGAGGTCTTAGGCTCAATTTAAATTACGGCGGAACGGAATGGAAGCGAATTTTTGTAACGATATTGTACATAGCGTAATGAACTTTATGGTCAATTGTGTAACGTACAAACTAGATACGAGCCAAAAATCATAAAAGGGAATATCGAAGGAAAGAGATGTAGAGGACGATCGAGACGAAGTTATTTAGACGAGACAAGGGAGAACGTTAATGTAGTGTCGTATCAGGAAATCAAAGGGCGCTGAACAGAGATTTCGATTACTCCACCGACAAGAGATAGCTGGTAAATAAGAGAAGAAAGAGAGGTCCAACAAGGTATCGAACACATAGAGCCTCTTCATCAAATATCCACACATATAGTCGTGGGAAGCACTACTTTTAATTTTTTCACTACATTTTCTGCTGTCTATATGAGATTAATATTTCTTACCGGCACATGTCTAAATTGTTCATTAGGCTTGATATCTTGGCAGCGTGATTGGTTGACCGGTACAGGGTTAAGGTAGGAAGCATCCTGAGTGCGCTGTACGCAGCAGCTGAGCGGGACTGACATGCCACGGGGACCTAGGCGTCGCAGTTGCCATACCGACATGTCGTAGTTCCGTGTGTCTGTCATGCCGCAGCATTTCAACTAAAATAAGGTAGGTTTGCTTTGTAAATGATTTTTTTAAATATATCTATCCAAGTGTTAGCGAATCGTGATATTAATTTATTTTATTTTGTTAGAAAGCTTACGTTACTTCATTAAGAACTGGTTTTATCGAAATAAGAAATAAATCTATACCATCATCATCGAATCAACGGAACGGCTGGCCGCCATTGTGAAAACATCGTTGACG